TGCCTGGCCCATTTGAGATCTTAAAACTATTCTAAAGATAGTCTATAAAAATAATTGAGGGTGGAGTGGTGGCTGGAGAGATGGTTCAGGAGTTAAGAGCACTGACTGCTCTTCCAGAGGACCCGGGTTCAATTCCCAGCATCTACGTGGCAGCTCACCACTGTTTGTAACCCCAGTTCCAGGAGTTCTGACACCCTCACACAGATATATATGCAGGCAAAACACTAATGCACATAAAATAAAATAAAAAATGATAATAATCAGGGTCGGTGAGATGGCTTAGCAGTTAAGAGTATCTGCTACTCTTGCAGAAGACCTGGGATTGGTTCCTGGCACCCACACCGGGATGCTTAGAATTGTCTGTAACTCTAGCTGCAAGACATGCGACACCTTCTTCTAGCCTCCAAGGGCATCTGGAAGCATGCACAGACACAGACAGACAGACAGACAGACACACACACACACACACACACACACACACACACACACCAATAAAAATAAAATAAATCTTATAAAACAAACCCTTGCATAGGCTATGGGAAGTGGAGGGTTGACTATGTGTAGGACATTTTGTTTCTCCCTTTATTCCTTTTTATCTGGGCCAGGTTTCCTCTCCCCTACCATCCCCAGCATCTCCCACGCACGACACTGCTTGCTGCCTCTTGACCCAGGACAAACACCAAGCCTTCTCACCGGAGGAACCTTCCCTCATTCTGTTTCTTTTCCAGAAAACCCACTGAGGATTGCATCTGTCATGCTCAACTCTGACCTTCATTGTTCACTCTTTGTCTGATTTGTGTCTTATCCTTGACATTACATTGTATTCTTTTAGTTTGTTTTAGAGGAGGGTTGTTACTATGTAGCCCTAGAGGGCCTGGAAGTTGCTATATAGACCTTGAAGTCAGAGATCAACTTGTCTCTGCCTCCTGAGTGCTGGGATTAAACACCACACCCAGTACTGCATCTCTCTTTGAAACTCCTCTAGACTGTGGTAACATCTGTCTTCCTGTCCCTTGTTCATGTCTCTAATAGGTTTTCTGCAGCCTGATAATAGGTTACTCCACTGGCACAGTAAGCCAGATCAAGCTGAATTGAAAAAGTAAAAGAACAGGTTTATTTGAGCAAGGCAACTCCCCGGTGGGTTCTCCAGTCCCAGAGATCGGGGTGGAGAAGTCACAGGCTTGAACTAGAGCAGGGAGCTTATATAGGTTGTAGGCAAGGGGTGATGGCGTGTCTGGCACAAAATAGGTTTGTGCCCAAGTGTGATCAAAAGCTGAATGCTCTAGGTGGGCACTTGGGCAGCTGACAACATAAGAGGGGGAGTTGCCGTAGCCAGTGGAACTGGGCTTTTTGATGCCTTTTCTTTGTTGGAGATTCTCTGAGTGAGTGGGGTTTGGAGAGACAAGAATGGGCCTTTCTGGATCAATCAGGGGAGAGCTGGATATTCCAACTGAATAGTCTCCTCACAGATCTTTTGCTTTTCTACCTAAATATTGATCTCAAAATCTACCCAACATTTAAAATCCAGCACAATCTTTGTTCCTTTCACAGAATCAGACACTACCTCAGGATCTCTCGTCTCTGAAGTCTCTATTATTCTGAGTTCCATTTCTCTATCTTACAGATGGGTTCACAGGAGAATGCACTTCATAGGACTGAGGGAAGATCCCATGTAAGGATTTTAGCATAGTCTTTGCCTTTGACTTTACATGGACTGTTATAAAACTGTTTCCTGATGGAATCAGTGTCTTCATCACCTTTCTCATGAATGGGAAAATCTCTCCAGATAAAGAAACCCAGAGGTGGTTGAGGAGGGAGTGATTTATTCATCCTTTTTTTTTTCCTTAAAAAAGAAAAAAAGTGATTTTATTTCATTTGTATGAGTGTTTGCTTGTATATATACACCTGTGCCTACAGGGGCTAGAAGAGGGTATCAGGTCCTCTAGAACTAGAGTTATAGGTGGTTGTGAGCCACCTCATGGATTCTGGGAATAAAACCCAGGTCCTCTGGAAGAGCAGCCGGTACACTTAATTGCTGAGCCAACTTTCCATCCCCATCCCAGCCTCTGCTGAAATTCCCATGCTTTGTTTTTCTCCCTCATAATGAATTCTGTAACATTTAGTACAACTCACACAATCCAGTGTGGTTCAACAGGAAAAGTTGTGTGTTGGGTAGAAGGTGAGAGGCAGGGCTTGGGTGTACACAAGGAAGAACCGGTCTTATCGTCACTGAGTTCTAATTGGGGCTGGGAGCTAGCCTGGGTGCAGGCTCACCTTCCACACCGACTATAGGTTTGACGTGATAGCTATAATATGGCTGCTGCTCCAGTGTTTGGGTTGGGTCGAGGCATACTTCAGTGTGTGGTAATGGTCACACAGTTCGTCAGTGGGGGTGGGATGGATCAAATCTTGGAGGTGATTGGATGGTAGTCATGTGGTGGAATTGTTCAAAGTGTGCTTTGTGTCTTTGCTTCTTAACCTTACTTCTTCAAGGGTGGATCTTTTGGCCCGATATCCACAGCCAACATGATTAAACTTCCCAGGAAGTGTGCTGACGCATGTCCTCAGGTGTCTGAACTAGCAATGAAAGGGAGTTTGGATTAGATGACCTCTATAATCCTTTCTGGCCTTGGAACTTTGTGAGGGTATGACAGAAGTCTGAATTCCGGCGGTGGCATTGATGCTGGCCTGTTCAGCTGGGTAGAGTTAATCAGTAAACGGTTGCTAAGACAATATTTGAGAGGTGGATACTGGTGGATTCCTAAGGTGGAGGCAGGCCAGAAGAAAGTGCTCTTTTCGAAGAGCAGTTAAAGGAGTATAAAGCAAGCCCAGTTCGTGCTCCACCTTCTCCTGCAAGCACTTTGTGTCCACATACCAAACTTACCTGTAAAACACCTTCTGGGCTTGGACCACGATGGACCTCTGAGCACACAGTTTAACGTGTGGTCTTTAACACAATGTATATTTGTTTTATAGCCACCAAGGGGATTTTAATCTCCTACTTCAATGAGAGACCTACCTTACACATTCTGGGGAAGTGTTCCACAGCGCCTAGTTTCATGCTGGGGTGTTGAATATATGCTTCCTAAGGATGTGATTGATTAGTAGCCTGAGAGTGAAGCTTTCTAAGGCACCGCTTAAGCCTTCCACGTGGGCAGAGGGCAGCTGGGGCTCCCACATCTCAATACAAGGCCTTGAGAAACATCTTAGAGGTAGCCTGGACTAGATCAGGTTTGGACTGGTGTTTCCCCAAACTCTTGGGACCCCAAATCCATTGCTACTTGAACTTAGGTCATCCATAGTTGGTTTCTAAAAAGAATCAGTCAAGTATAAAAGATGGAGTGATGAACCCTTCTTGGAGTGCAGGAGGAAAAGGCGGGCATAGCCTCTATTTTTCCCTGGAGTAAATGCTGTGTCTCTAACCCTGGTTCCCACCTCTGATTCAGGTCCCACAGATATCCTGATGTCCTAGGGTAAATGTAGGCATGGTAGGTACCTAGTTTTCCAAAATTTCACTCAAATTTTATTTTGGATAGTTTTTGGAGAGAGTGGGCCTGTTACTTTAAATACATTTATGTTACCCTCCTCCCCCACATACTAAAATCTATTAGTTTGTTCACAATTCTGCCACAGAGGCATTGTGGGGAGCCATCTATTCTGGAACAGTAGATCGATCCCACAAGACAGAGGAGGGCCGAGCAGGACATTTGGCTTGGAACCTCAGGCTCAAGGGTGGGGCTAAAAAGATTAGGCTGGCTTTAGCAGTAAACTTGCCACACACACACACACACACACACACACACACACACACACTCACACACATCATACATCCACTTACATACATTCATACATACAACATATACACAGCACACACACAATACACACACACTCACACACATTCATATCCACACAACACACACATAAACTCACACTCACAACATACACACACTTACACACATTCATACACACATACACACAACACACACAACACACTTAGACACACACCACACACAATACTCACACACTCACACAATTCATACCCACACACAGCACACACACACACATACACACTCACTCACCATCCAACATGAATTAAACCATTTGTAACAGAGAGTAGTTTTTTCATTCCTAAGAAAATCACTCGCTGCCCTCAGAAGGTCAGGGGTTAAAGAATCCTCACATCATATGCTATCAAAGTGTCTAGAATCTCCAAGAAGTTGAAAATCAGTATCAGAGCTCAGAGTGGAAAAATCCAGACAAGCCTTCCTCCATTGTAGAATCTGTTAAAACAGATTTTGGTTAGGTTGACTTCTGTTTCCAAGAGCTGGGGGATCCTGTCATGTAGAATGTTCCTGTGAGCAGAACAGTTCTGTTTTCCTGTGTTTATTGCCTGTGGACTCAAGGGATTAGAAGAGGAAAAGATTAAAAAGATAATTGTTTAGTAGTGGGTTTTACTTTTATTATTATTATTGTTGTTGCTATACTAAGTACGATCTGAGGGGTGTCACCCATGCTAAACGAGCTCTCTGTCCCTGAGCTGTGTATCCAGCCCAGAGTATCCTGTCTTACAAATGTTAATAGATCATAGTTACTATTTACTACAACCTAGATACTGTGTTCATTCCTTATACACATGAAATCAGTGGCTGATATGGGTTGAAAGGGAAATGCCTCTTATAGGCTTATGCTTTGAATGCTTGGTCCTTAACAAGTGCTATTGGTGGCGGGGAGGGGGGGCTGTGGAAACTTTAGGTCAGAGAAGTCAGTCACTGAGATCGGTCCCAGGGGTACGCTATTTTCTGGCTGCTTCCTGGTTGGTTATGAAGGGAATTGTTCTCACTACATGCCCACACAGCGTTGATGCTCTGCCCAAGGTACAAGGGCCAAGCAACGAAGGATTGAACCCCCTGACCGCATGAGCCACGATAGGTTCTTCCTCTGTCAAAGTTCTCTCTGTCGGGGATCTGCCAGAGCAACGAAAAAATAGTTCAGTAGGTTCACACAGGCACACCGTGAAACAGATAACGGAGAGAGCCAGTGGCTGCTGATAGTTTCTGCTTCACTTAGTTTCCAGGCCAAGGAAATTTTTATGGAATCCAATTCAGGAAGTGAGCGTGGGGTCCAAAGTTCCACAAGCAGAGGCCGGGAATGGGGTCAAGCTAATGACCCATTCCTTTCATCTTAAAACTAGATTATTTAGGTGGGGGAGCCCCTAGATTAATTGAAATAGATTATTTGAAAGAGTCTATTGGAAGACCGCCCCCCACCCCGACTCAGGCACTACAGTTCCCCCCCTCCAGCCCCACAAACCAGTGGACCCCAGACACCGACGCACGCAAACCCCAGACACCGAGAGCTAGAGTGGTGGACAGGGTAAGCAAATTGCTTCCTAATCTATCTAATAAGCTTTGAGGCCTGAGCAAATATGGACTCCTTGTGAAGCCTGCCTTACTACAGCCTGAGTAAACACAGCTTCTGGTGTTGATTTTGCCCTCCAGGCTGTCCCAAAGCTCACCGAGTCTTGTGCCTAAAGGTGGGCTTCCCGACAGCCGAGGGCTGGGCTGGTGGCATTGAACAGATGTTTTTCTGGGATCCAAGGCCTAAGGTTGGTTCCTGGCCAGGATATTGTCTTAGAGTTGAAATACCCTCCCTCTTCTCCCCCACTTTCTTTTACTCCAACATCTCTGCCCAAAATCTGCATCCTTCTCAGGCTGCTCTGTGGCGCTGAGACAATTTGAGAGACTGGCCCAGTCTTCTTTTGTTTGACCAGTGACATCACACTACAGCAAAATGACTAAGTCAGTTTCTCATACAGGTCAATTTTTTAAAAGTCAAAAAGACTGCTTTACCTAAAGTAATCATAACAAGGTTTTTGAATTTAAGAATTTTTTATTTCTCAGAGTAGGCTCAAACCCAGAGCCTTGTGCATGGGTGTCTAGGTGTCTCCCACTAAGTTACAACTCCCACTATAAATCCCGTTTTTGACTTCAGACTTGTAAAAATATTTTATTTTGAGGTAAGATTTTCCAGTGTTGTGAAAGCAATGTCCTAACCTCTTGGCCTAGCTTCCCAGGTCGCTGGGATTGTAGGTGAGTGCCACCACAGTTACCAAGTTTAAGTTTGGGATATCTGGTTTTCTACCACAATCATTAACACGTTTGCGATGCAAGGTGGAATCCACGTTGTCAACAATGACCTCTTCCTTTTGCATACACTGGCCTAAGACAAGCGCCTCCATGGGCATTATTTCATGTCATCCTCACAGTGGCCCTTAGGGACAGGTGGGATGGTAGTGCCGCCTTCATCTTAAGAGGGTGTAGCCTTGCTGAAGTTCAGAGCCAGCTGGGTGTAAATGGAAACACAGATTTCTATCTCCATCCATGTTAACGATCCCCGCTTCCCTGGGCTCAGGTAACATTGTGTGAGGGTGGGGTGGGATGTAGGGGCCAGAGGATAGGGAGGAGCCTCCTCAGATGCTGTCTCCTGGAAACAGTACATCCTCTGCATTCATGAACTCACTTTAGCTGTGGTGACCTGCACAGGATCCATCCAGCAGGTCCAGTCAGCATCCCACAGGCAGCACTAACTGGATTTAGTGTGTCAGAATAGAAAAAAAAGGAGAGGACATGTAGGGTGGAGGGATGTGTTGGGGTGCCTGGAAGAAGCGGCAGGTGGGAGTTGGGGTAGATATGATCAAGATACCTTGTTTATATGCGTTGAAGAATAAGTAAAGAGTAATCTATTCAAGAATTCCTAGTTCCGGTTAACAAATCCTGTGTGCTTCCTATTACAGAGTCCTGCTTAAGTACATCATTGTCATAGAGTCCCCGTTCTTAGCTATTTCTTAAAATTCTTCAAATGTCATAGAAGTTCTACCTGGCAGTGTTGTAGAGCATTCGGATGGTAGGAGGCAAGGGAGCCTTAGATTAGCCACACTGCCTGCCATGCCCCGCAGAGGCTCCCTGTTGATTTTTGACTAGGGCAAGTGGAGGGAGGGAATCACCCCTGACTTAGAATTCTCAAAGAGGCTAAGCCAGAGCTTCAGGGATGGAAATGAATTATGTGATTGCATTATACTAGTCACTTAAAGGTGACTAATTATAGTCATCTCCATCCTTTGTAATCTTCTTAACCTCGTGGCATTTCCTGACTCTCACATACTTGGTGTGATTATAACTATCAGCTGGGATGGTGACTAATTCCTTCAAGCTATTCTTCGTCTGCGTGTTGTTCTTATTTGTGACGGGGGACTATCTCTTTGTAAAGCTTACCCCAAAGACCAATTATTATTATTACTTTTATAGATGTAGCTTAACACAGGACTGGAACATGGTTAATGCCTCATAAACGGTGGTTACGATAATTAAAAATCCAGGTCTGCTCAAGCACCTGCTGAGCCGGTAATTTTGGGAGCATTGGAGTTACATCATCACTTGGGAAATCTGTGAAGGATTTTCAAAAGTGGCCACATCCGAAACTCAGAAAAGTAACTAGCAGATGAACTACTTTGCCTTCATGTCTTTTTATATTGTCTTACTCTCATCATCTTCATCATCTTCATCATCATCATCATCATCATCATCATCATCATCAAGACAGACTGCAGCTTCTTTAAATTTTCATGCACTTCTCTAAGTGGCCATAATTTGGGGACAGTATTAATGTGATATACTTGATGGAGTGGAAGAGCCTTTAAGTAGGTTCTCAGGCATCATCTCGTATTGATCCAGCCCTTGCTGAAGGACATTCCGAGCTGGTACCTGTTTGTTTCTGCCCTACTTAATTACAGAGATCAAAGAGCTGTCACTGGAGGCCTGACCAACCTCAGAGATGCTGAGCTGTCAGGACCAAAGGACTGAAAATTAAATATCGAATTCTTATGAGCAGGTGAGGCATAAAGCGAGCCTTGGGTGCCCACTGAGCTGAAGTCTTCTTGACTCCCACTGTGAAAATCCAGTTTCTGATGTCAACTCCATTCCCCCCATTTAGAAGCCACATGGAGACCCCTGTTGCTCTGTTCTCTAGACAACCTGAGCCCAGAAGGAAACTGGGTATCTGCATTTAAACATCATTGTGAGTGTGAGTGTGTGTATATACATGCTTGAGTGTGCAAGTGATGTATGAGTGTGGGTGCATGCCTGCCACGTGTGTTCTGGGTTTTGAACTCAGTCATTAGTCTTACATCTTGCTGGCCCTAGATAGCTGGAATTTAAGGATGGGGATGAGTGAAGGAACTCAAACTTGATCAGTCTTACATTGTCACCAGGTGCTGGGCTCACAAACAAAGTTGGTGATGAAACATCTCCACAAACAAACAAGCCTTTGTTGGTCTAAATCCTAAGGAATTGGTTTCTAATAATTACAACAGGCTTATATGTAAACTTCAAGTCAATATATTCAAAGAAATGTTGGCCCCTACCCCAAGTGAACATATTATATCACTATCATTTTCATGAATTTAATTCTGATGATTCCTAGTCATTCGGCTGCCCCCCCCCCATCACAGGTAGACTTAGAAGTACGTTTATAGGGTCTATAATCATCCAATTATTTAGGACACGAGTTAGTGTATTTGCTTTTACAAACCATGGGTTACTTTCTTTAAACAGTGGATTCAAAGTCAAAACTGACACACCAATTATAAACATGAAGAATCATGGTCACTTGGAATTTTTATAGGTGACTACAATTTTAAACAGTGAAACTGAGTGGGAGCTGTGAGGTTCATTCCTATAAGAGGTCAACAATGTATAGGTAGTTGTCCTCTTTTAAAATATATACAAATATCCATCGGAAAGTATGAATGAATTAACTTTCTTCTTTTTCTACTTTTTAATATATACTTGACTTCTTTTGTAGTATTGCACCTTTAAACTATTCCCCCAGTCCTATATCTTTTTTACTTTACATTCACAGGCATGATTACATGCTTGCAGTTTAATAAATGAAAACTTTCACTGTCTGTTTCTTTTCTGGTCATGATTTATTAGATTTGTTTCACGATTATTACTAAAACCAATTTTGCCCTATGGAGAGGACAATGTTAACTTACTTAAGGTGCCAAGTACTCTGGATACAACACTGAGTTTGAGCTAAGCTCCAGGCCAAGGACCTTCTCTTGTGTATGGGGGGGGCTGGGGGGGGGGAGAGGTTATTTTTCATGTTGCTAGGCTTATGACTGAGGCACTGATGTGAGCTAGCTTTCTGTCACTATGACAAAATACTTGAGAGAACCAAGTTATAAAGGTAAAGAGGTTTATTTTGGCTCACAGTTTCGGAGCTGTCAGTCAGTGATGGCTTTGGTCTTGTGGTAAGGCAGTGCATCATCAGAGGAGCATGTGGAGAAGAAGCAAAATCGCTCAATTTGTGGCCCAGAAGCAATAATTCTTCAAAGTTGAAGAAGTAATAGGGAAAAACTTGGGGCTTAAGAGCATACTCCTGGTGATGTAAGGACTGTTCACAAGGTCAGTCTCCGTTCTCAAATGTTCCACCACTGTGGGCCTTTGGAAGATGTTCCGCATCCAAGCTGAAGCATGTCTACAGTAGAAGACAGACTAATAAGAGAAAAAAAAAACACTACAAATACACCTTTAAGTGGCACATTGGTGCATTTTAGGTGGCACAAAAGACTTCACAAGATGTAGCCCAAAGCAACAGGGAAAAGTCACGTCTTCTAGTCACGCCTGATGGAGAGGTGGTCAGCCGAGCGTAAGTATGATTGGATGGAAAGGGTAAGACACAAACGGAGATGAGGTAGGCCCTGCTTATCCAGATTCCTCAGAGACTGGAAACAGAACCAGCACCTTCCAAATGAAGTTCTCTTGACCTGCTTGGGGAAGAAGAGCGAGGGAGAAGGTGAGGGTGCTCTTTCTGCTTCGGCTGTGGTCTCTCAGACTGGGGGTGCTGTGTCCCAAACCTCATCACCTGCATTTGTTAATTCTCCGATTCTTAGCTCATTTCTCTGCTTTGATACCAGCATGCCTTATGCCCAAACTACCAGAGGGTTTGGATTTATCTGTGCCCCAGGCTGGCCTTCCATTCCCGATGTTCCCACCTCAGTCTCTCCGGTGGTAGAGTTACAGGTGTGTACTAGAGGAAGTTGAATGTCTCTACTAGAGTTCAACATTTTAAAAGTGTGTTTGGGTGTGTTCTTGTGTGTGCATGCATGTGGAGGTCATCCTCGGATGTTTTTCTTTTTCTTTTTCTTTTTTTCTAAAGACAGGTTTACAGTGATGGTTTTAATGAGATCTCTAGTTGATGGTGCTGTTTGGGGAGGCTTAGGAGGTGTGACCTTGCTGGAGGAAATCCATCACTAAAATCCAGCTTTGAGGTTTGGAAAGCCTTTTGTGATTCCCAGTATACTCTCTGCTTCTTGCCTGTGGTTTAGGATGTGAGCTTGCAGCTTCCTGCAGTCTCTGTGCCTGCCTGCTGCCACATTTCCCCGCCAATGCTGGTGATGGACTCTGGAACCGAAAGTCCAAGTGAACTTTACCTTTTGTAAGTCGCCTTGATCCTAGTGTTTTATCCCAGTAATAGAAAAAAAAAAAAAAAACCAACAACAACAACAATACAATCTCTCGCTGGAGCCTGAGGCCTGTGCTGAGTAGTCGAGGTTGGCTGGCCATGGAGACTTAGGATCCACCTGTCTCTCTGCCTTCCCAGGGCCTGCATTACACATGCAAACAGCAGGCCAGGCTTTTCACATGAGCACTGGGGATCAGACTTGGGTCGTCATACTTGTAGGGGAAACACTTTACCCACCGAGTCGTCTCATGGTACCTCGACCAGAATGTTTTGACACTTGGAAGAATCCACGACCACATTTTCCTGTCAGCAGGTGTTGGGATGGAGAACAAAGACCCCACCCATCAATTGGACCCTCTGTGTACTCAAAAGGTTGACGGAACACTTTTATCAGTGCAGTGGGTATGGCCAATGCCAGTCAGGTGTACCTTTCTCTTTCAGGTGTTTTTAGGAACAGTCACTGTCATTCTTATCAGAGATAAGCTGTTGCTGAAATTGTAGCCTGATTCATAAAACTCTAATCAGCCACGACTATAGGATCCTGGGTGAGCTTCCTTTTAGTACCACAGTTTCCAAGGATAGCCTACTTATAACTGCCCCCCCCCCGCCCCCATGTGGCCAGTCTTGGGGCATTTTAAAGAAACTTTTAGCCAATAGAAACATGTAACTGACATCAACATTAGTTTTTGCAGACAGGGCATCAATACATAACACAGGCTGGCCTTGAACTCCTGAACCTCCCACCGTAGCATCCTGAGAACTCACTACGTAGTCTCCCCAGGCTGGCTTCAAACTCTCGGCAATTCTTCTGCCTCGGTCTCCAGAGTGCAGATGTCGTAGATGCGAGTCACAACACCTGGCACTCATTTTTTTTAACTCCTGTCTAGAGAAACCACACAAAGGGAGAGGGGAATGCGTTCTAAACATGTGTTTGAAATCCTGTCTTCCTATTTCAGATGCTCTCAGAGTGCTCGCTACAGGAAAGAGCTGCCTCCTTCCTTCTCCCTCCTGCCCTCTTACATCCTAATCAACCAACAGTCTCAAGCCCTAACAGAAACCGCTGTCCCAACCACACGGGGTGGGGGGTCCAGCTCTCTTCACTTGTTTCCTGTCCCTTTCATGCCTTCCGCTTCCGGTGTGAATCACCCAGGTTCAAAGACTGGAGCTGAATCAGCAAAGACCACTCTTAAATTAAAAAATTAAAAATAATTTTAAAAAAAAGAGATGTGTCTAGTTACGTTGTCGGGCTGGCCTCAAAAAGTGGCCCTCTTGCTTCATACTCCCACATAGCTCATGTGAGCCGGTGTGTGTCACCTTAAAAAGCACTTTTTTCATAAGCTTAAAGGGAATAAAGGGATGGCACGGACACATACTAGTGACCTTTGTCTCTGAAAAGGAAAACAAACAGCTGTGGGAATTGGAGCTTCACGTCTGTTGTGTCTTTAACACAATCTGTTTACTTTGCCCCCATCCAGCGGTCCCAGTGGACCAGGGAAGGACCTTCAGTCTGAACATGGGGAACTGAACAGAAAGCTTCCAAAGCCAGGGGAACGTACTCTGGGGCTCAGCAGACCAAGGAGCCTTGAAGGAGTCCCGTGATTCAGGTCTAGCTGAGCCCTGAGTCCTTCCCACTTAATGGCGTCTCAGAGGCCTGTGCACAGCAAGTCTCTGCTCCCAGCCCAGCCATTGGCGGTCACCTGTCCATGACCAATGGCCCCATTGTTCCATGGTGAGGGGCTGATTGCTGAGCTGTGTCCAATGTCCTTTCTGTGCCGAATAGGAGTTCAGGTCTTGCACCATGGGCTGGGGAAGAAGTTTGGAAGGGAAAGGCCATTTTAAAATGTGCAATTACTCTTGGCTATTGCTTTTTTTTTTTTTTTTGTGCCTCAGGGGACCAGAAAAACAAGTTGAACCAGTGTCCAACCCGGAGTGGTATGTGATTCTGTGTGTTCCTGCTCAGGCTGGGTGTAATGAACTGCCAAGAACAGGCTATTTGCAAGTGGCAGGCTCTGAGAGGCAAGCCTGATTGCCCTGGCCCGGCTTCCTGAGACACTTCGGAAGTTTATGCAACTGCCCTTCCGCCAGGCTAACCTTCCCTGAAGGGTGTCCAGTGTTGTATCTGGAGATGGTTAGGTTAATTTTAGTGGCCGTGTTAGCTTTTTGATCAGTGAACTCTCCCTGCCCTCAGACCACCCCTTTTCTCCAGTTTCATAGCCCACTTTCCTAGTTTGCTTCCTCTTGCCTGTCAACCCTGTCACACAGTCTCAGGTGACTGACATTTTGTCTTCATCAAAGCCAAGGAAGGTTTATGTTCTCTGTGTTTTCTGGCTAAAAGTCACTAGGGTGATATTTATTTGTTTTCTGATACCAGTCAAACAGCTGGACACACAATGCTTTCTTACTTGGAGATTCGGGAGGAACTGAACTGTGGTGGGGGTGGTAGTGTGTGTGTGTGGGGGGGGTGGGGGTGGCTCAGAGGTCCCAGGATAGGCATTATTAAAGGAATATAAAGTCAGGATATAAAACCCAAGACTAATGGATACAAATTGTATATTCTTTAAGACAGCGAGAATGCTTAGCAACTCGCTTCAATAAAACTCCAGTAAAATGCAGAGTAGATTTTCCAGTCATTTCCCACCTTTATTTGCTCTGGAGTCAGTGACCTGTAGGCTCCTTTATGACCCCTGGGTTGGAGGGACCCAAGGGCTGCACTGTATGTTCCTCCTCCTCCGGAGAAGCTCTCCTGGGTCAATAAGCTTTTATTTCTGACCTTTTTTTCACCGGCTCTAGTGGGCCATGAAAACCTAAATGCCTCGGCTTTCAGGCATGTGGGAAGCTCCAGGCCTCCTGAATCAAATTCTCTAGGGGAGTTTTACTCCCAGATCTTCAGGTCATTGATCCCACAGTAACAGCCCCTGAGTCATTTGTGGGAGTCATTTCTCTTGGGAAGGAGAGGCAGCTGAATGAGGATGCAGGGTGATGTCACTAGACAAGCACAGCTTTCCCCAAAGACAGGAAGCTCTCACTTCCAGTGTCTGGGAGACTTGAAAAAAAGCATTACCAATAGGCATGCAGATGATTATCTTGGTGGGAAAGTCTGAAAGACTAATCAATCAAGCAAGTTACTAATTACTCAGAAGCTTGCTGAAGGCTCCTCTCTCTCTCTCTCTCTCTCTCTCTCTCTCTCTCTCTCTCTCTCTCTCTCGGCGGGGGGTGGGGGCAGCGTGGCCATGTGTATGGAGGTCAGAGGTCGACTTTCAGGAGTTGGTTCCTCTCCTTCCACCATGGATCCCAGGGATTGAACTCAGGTCATTCATTGGGCTCAGGGGTGAGCACCTTTACAGAGTGGTCTGGTTCATAACAGCACCATCCAGTTTCCCTGAAAAGTTAATTGGCCTGCTTCTCGGGAACAAGGGCCACACGTGACAGGAAGCTATGAAGACCTGGCCTCAGGGTGAAGGAACTTCAGCTTTCCACCAGAGGGAAAGGCTGGGGCAGCTTGCAGGCAGGCTTCTTCTTCCCTGCCTCCGGGGGCAACGGCTCTTCTCTTTCCCCAGGCACTGGCTTTCTCTGAACTCAGAGTAGAAAGCCTGCTCACGGGGAGGGAGAAGGAACCCCCACCACCCGGATCCACATGGCAGGCAGGGAGAATGTTGCAAAAGGCATTGTGTCCTCACAGAGGAGGGACAGATGCCCTGCAGATGGCACAGGACCATCCCAAGCGGCCGCCGCCGCCGTCATTCCAGGGTTTGGTGTAAGTGAATTGCTGGCAGGGAAACCTGCTCTTCTGAGCCACACACCCCTGAAACACACAGACTTCCTGCACCCCTAGCCACAGGGTCCCCTGACCTCAGGGGGTCCTCTGCTTGTTAGGGCCTGCCCGCCCACCGCGAGCCCACAGTGAGGTCCTGCTGCCCCCACGTGGTGCAGAGGCCACCTTCCTGAGGCCTGTCTTGCAATGACTGCTTCCAGTTCATGTGTCTTTGCATGGGTACTCTGCTCCAACACCCCAAGGCTACTGCTCCTGTTCCTTCCTGTTACAACCCTGCGTGTGAGGATTCTGATTGTCCAAATAAAGATCTTCGTACTTTGACTTAAAATCTGGACTTTAATTTTTTTGTTGTTTTGAGACAAGGTTTCTCTGTGTAACCCTGGTTGTCCTAGAACTCGCTCTGTAGACCAGACTGGCATCGAACTCAGAGATCCACTGGTATG